ATTACAGTTGTGAGCTGCCAAGTGGTACTGAGAAACATGAGCTTAATCACCATGCATCTCTACAGCCCTGTATCTGGTCAGTTTTAAATACTTTCTCCTGCTTCTCCTGCTTCTCGATGGTGGCGTTTGTCTTTAGTCCAGCACTCAGGAAGCAGAGGCAGGCTTGGTCTACAGAGCGAGTTTCAGGACAGACAGGACTGTTATATAGAGAAAACTTGTCTCAAATAAACAAACAAAAAACAAAACAAAACAAAACAAAACCCTTTTCCTGCCAGGCAGTGGTGCCTTTAATCCTAGCAGAGGAAGAGGCAGTCAGATCTCTGAGTTTAAAGCCAACCTAGTCTACAAACTACAACCTAGTCTACAGTTCTAGGACAGCTAGGGTTACACAGAGAAACTGTGTCTCAAAAACACAAAAGCAAAAAACAAACAAACAACAAAAACCACACTCTTTCCATTGATTGTTCCAAAGTTACCTCTTCCAGTTTTGGTATCCAGCAAAGACCTCAGGTCTTCTCTAGGTGGCATATTCCCTACTGGGTAATAGGTGTCATTGATACTTGTGGATGAAGAAATCCTTCATAGCTGGGCAGGCCTCAGAGTGGAAGGGAGTGCCTGGAGACACTCGAGCCTTGCAGTCAAACATATCCAAAAATGTTCGTTTCTCAGCACCTCTGCCAAGCCCCTCCCTTCCAAGCCTACACACAACTTCCCTCTGCCTTTTATTTTATTTTTTTGAGACAGGGTCTCTCTTTTTTTTAAAGAAAGGTTTTTATTATTGTTGTTGTTTTTAATGTTCATTGTTGCCTTCCCTGCATTTATGTCTGTGTGAGGGTATCAGATCTGGGAGTTACAGACAGTTGTGAGCTGCCATGTGGGTGCTGGGAATTGAACCTGGATCCTTTAGAAGAGAAGCACAGCCAGTGCTCTTGACCACTGAGCCATCCCTTCAGCCCCATGAGACAGGGTCTCTTGTAGTCCATTATGGCCTGAAGCTCACTTTGTAGGTGAAGTTGGCCTTGAATGCCTGATCCTTCTGCTTCTGCATCCAAAAGCAGCGTTGTGGATGGATTTCCAGTGGGGTCTGGTGGCACTTTGCTGCCCTCTGGCGACAGTGTGTATACTCTAGGTTCAAATTCTGTAGGAGAATCCAGAGGTAAAAAAAAAAAAAAAAAAAAAAAAGGCAGGCTTACAGCCAGGATCAGAACTTCAAATCTGGCTTCAGCCTTGAGGAGACACCATGCAAACAGCCCTACCAGGATCCCATCCCATCTGCCATGACTCCTGTCAGGGCTCAGGCCCCCAAAGATCAAGGGACAGACCACGAGATTTGAGTCTGTGACCCTGACCCCAGCAGCTTTCCCATGGGCATTGGTTCTTATCTGCTTAATCAGCGTTAAAGAAGAGGAGCAGGAGCTGCATGTGGTTGGGCACGCCTTTAATCCCAGCACTCGGGAGGTAGAGGCAGGCTGATCTCTGTGAGTTCAAGACCAGCCTGGTCTACAAGAGCTAGTTCCAGGACATGCTCCAAAGCCACAGTGTAGGAATTGGACCCTAGGACTTCTGCATGCTAGGCAAGCAGACTTTGCTATAAGTGATGTCCCAGCCCCCGACTAGTGGATTCTAGGCAAGTGCTCTACCACTGAACTTGATGTGTAGAGATGGCTGGCCTTGAACATGGCTTGATATGGAACTTACTCTGTAGATCACGCTGGCCTTGAACTCACAGAGATCCACCTGCCTCCACCACCTGAGTGCTGGGATTAAAGGTGTCTGCCATCATGACCGATGTCCTTAATTTTTTGAGACAGAGTCTTACTATGCAGTCCTGGCTGGCCTTGAATTTTCTATCTTCCTGCCTCTGCTTCCCCAATACTAAGATTATGGCTTTTTTTTTTTTACTCTGCCTGGGTGTTTTGGTTTGGGGGTTTTGTTTCTAGTGGTACCGGGGAGTATTAGAGTATTGGCCTGTGCCTTTAGTCCAGACTCAATAACCTGAGTCAGGCAGCCTCCAGCAGCTCTCTCTGAGGCAGAGTTCAGAATCAGTTGGTGCTGTGACTTGGCAGCTCCCAATGTATGCTACCGTGCTCTTCTGCGCTGAACTAAGTCACATGATGCTAACCTTCCTGCTGCCCCTAAAAGATTATAAAACAAGATCATTCCCTGGTTCTGGTAATTTGGTCACTCCTGTGTGTGTGGGGGGGGGAGGTTGCTAGGAAAGATTACTTTGAATGCTTCTTTCTAATGAGGCTCCTACACACACACACACACACACACACACACACACACACACACACTACCCCTCCTCATGCCTCCCTCTTCCCATCTTTCTTTTTAGCCCAGTTTTAGTGATGCTCCTCTCCAGGCTCCAAAGGAACCCTCTCACTCCCTTTAAGATGCCATGGTGTTCAGAGCTCCATATACTGTATGGCTTCTGTCTAACGCTCTGCTCTCCTTCCTATCCGCAGGCCCAGTCAGCTTCACGGTCCTTTCCTTATAATAAGCCTCTTGGAAGGACTTGTTTCAGCTTCCTTAATACAAGCTATTGCTTTATCGCCTCACCTTTTATTATCTGGGGCTAGCACAGTGCCTCACATATGGTCCAAAGAATACTCTGCCCCTGGACAGCCCCAGCTGTATGGTCACCTTCACCTGAAAGCTTTGGAGTGAATTCCTGGCCAGCTCCTAGACTGGAGTGGCAGTTTTCTTTATTGTAAGAAAGATTCATATACTCAGCCTCAACTGGTGGCCCTGTGCTTTCAGAGTGGCCAAGGGTCTGTCTCAGGAGTTCACTTATGTTTTTGTGCTATGTTATAAAAGAGTATAAGAAATGGGGTGTGAGGCTAGACACAGAGGCTAATTTTCTAATCCAAGAATTACGGAGGCAAACATGGCAAACATGGCTCTGGCAGGCCTTGCCCTTCTCCCCATTTCCTCTGCCTTGCTAAGAACCATTAGATTACATCCCTAAAGCTAGCCAGCAATCTCTGTTACCCTATTTGGCTTCTTCCTCTT